TAGTAAGTTCCAGGCCAGCTGGGGCTACAGGGAAACCCTGTCTCAAAAAGACAAAAAAGGGGCTGGAGAGATGGCTCAGCAGTTAAGGACATTGGTTGTTCTTGCAGAAGACCCGGGTTCAAATCCCAGCACCCACATGGCAGCTAATAACTGTCCATAACTCCAGTCTCAGAGTATCCGACAGCCTCTTCTGACCTCCTCAGGCATTGTACGACATGGGTGCCCTTACCTACATACAGGCAATACATGCATACACATAAAATAAAAATAATAAATAAATTTGTAAAAAATCACCCAAAGTAGCTACCCTTTGTGAGGTCTGAGGTCATGGAAACAAGGAGGGACTTTGTAGGGTCAAGGATGGAACTCAGGGCCTCCAGCATGCCAGGCAAGTGTCTAGCACCCAGCCACATCCCCAGCACCTCACTGGTGGATTCTAAACCTGTGCTCTACACAGGTGTGTGAACCACACCCCAAGCTTCAGTGAAACTTTTCCTAGTCAGGTGCTGGGGATTGAAGTCAGGGCCTGGCACAGGCTGGGCAAGTGCTCTACCACTGGCCTACACCTCCAGCTCTGTTTTCACTTTCCATCTTAAGACAGGGGCTCACTGAGTTGCCCAGGTTGACTTTGAACTCACACTGTAGCCCAGACTGGCCTTGAATTTGTTGCAGCATTTGGAGTACTGGGACATTGATGAGGTGCTGCCACTGCAGGCAGCTTCTTCCTATTCATGACCTCACTGATGTGGTTACAACCCTAGCATCCCTTTTAGAAACAAGAAGACTAGGGCCTGGGAAAGTCACGGCTCTTGCACAGGGGTTGTTGGTGGACCTTCCTCCCATGGTATGCACCTTCCTCACCCTCTTGATGCTGGCAGTGTACTGCTTCATGGCAATCTTCTCCAAAGCACTTTCAAAGCCAAAGAAGGACTGGACATCCAGGGAGGCTGACTGTTCGAAGCAAGTCCAGTCCTCATTCTCAGGGTGAACCTGCAAGAAGGGAAGCAGCCATGGCAGGGTCTCATGGGGGATACTGTGTCCTACCCAGAAGCTCATCTACTGACCAGAGCCTGAGATGGACAGCATGCAGGAGATTGGCACCACCTAGGACATCCCCGCCCAGAGAATGATGCAAAGTCCAACTGCAAGGAGCAGCAAGCCCACTGATCTTAAGCTGGGTGTGGTGGAGCACACCTTTTTTTTTTTTTTTTTTAATGTGAGTGCATTGCCTGCATGTATGTGAGTGCACCCATGTCGTGCAATGCTGTGGAGGTCAGAAGAGGGCTTGGATTCCCCTGGAACTGGAGTTAAGGATGGTTCATAGCTGCCATGTGGGTGCTAGAAATTGAACCCGGGTCCTCTGCAAGAGCAATGAGTGCTCTTAACCACCGAGCCATCTCTCCAGCCCCTGAGCACACCTTTTGTAATTCCAGCACTCAGGAGGCTGAGGCGGGAAGACTGAAAGTTCCAGGCCAGCCTGGGCTACATAGTGAGACCCTGTCCCAAAAAACCATGGAAAAAAAGAGACAAAACAAAAACCAAATACAGTGCTTGTATGAAATTCTCAAAAAATAAATAAATTTTTTAAAATACATACAGCCAAGCATGGTGGTGCACATGCTGAGGATGGAAAGTTCCAGGCCAGCTTGGGCTACATAGTGTGAATCTGTCCCAGAAAACCATGGGAGGGATGAAGAGCCCGAGGAGACAGGAGGATGTGTATCTGACAGCTTGATAGGGGAGGCTGGGAGGGATGCAAGGGCCCAGCCTTGGTCAAGCAACAGGGTCACAGGGAGGCCTCTACTGTCTCACCGAGTAGCTGCAGTTCTCCTTGACCACCACGCGGCTTGCGAAGGTCTCGTTGTGAGCATCGATGATCAGTGTCCTCTCTCTCCAGTCCAGCACGTTTCTCTGTACAAACACTACCTGCTCCACTCCGGCGATCTGCGGAGAGGGCGCCGGGAAAAGGGGTCTGAGGAGGGTGAGGCACTAGCCCGCGGGGCACCCAGCCCAGCACCTGTCACCAGGCCTGAGCTCCAAGTTCCCACTCCTTCCACCGCTAAACCCGGGGTCATATGCTGGGATCCTGGGGTCCAGCCCCACCACCTCCTAGCCTAGCCTGGGTTACCTCCAGCGCGGAAGCCAGGTCCTTGCTCCCTCCACCACCCAATATATTAACCGAACAAGAGTCATCCTGTCCTAGTCACCTCTAGCTGAGACCCCAAGTCCCTGCTCCGGCTTCGATCCAGCCCAGCTAGGGTCACTCCCAGCCCAGAATCCAGGCCCAGCGTGCCTCCAGTCAGTCCGACTTGGTCCTCTCCTCAACCGGGACCGCACTACTGCCCCCACCCACCCACCTCCACCACCCAGCCATGGCCCAAACCCTCAGACCTGCACCCCACTCTGCACCCCTGGATCACCACCTCGCTCTGGTCCCCAGACCCTCAAGCCCCGAGCCCTCGCAGATCCCAAGGCCAGGGCTCCCGCATCCCACAGCACCTGGACCTGTGCACACCTCAGGTCCCGTGCCCACCTTCCGTAGCAGCCGCGGGGCGTCCACGCGCAGCCGGCAGCTCCGTTCCACCGTGTGCACCGCGCCGTCTGCGCTGCGCCATTCGCGTAGGACCTCGCTGCCCAGGAAGACTGGGATCAGTGGGCAGGTGGGGAAGCGCTTCTCATAGGCCTGAGGGCAGAGTGACAGTGAGCCGGGACAGCCAGACCCTAGGCTGGCCCTGCAGGGGAAGGCCTCCTTCCAGAGAGGGACTGTCCCCAGACAAGCACCCAGGGACACCCTCATCTTGGCCTGGTTTAGGAGCAGCAATCCACAGGTCCCTGTAGGAATTACATTGCACCCTCAGAAAGAATGGGGTCTTCTGGGACACTTTGATTGCTTGGTTGGTTGGTTGGTTGGTTGGTTGGTTGATTGATTTACTTTCATTATTATTATTATTATTATTATCATTAATGTGGTAGTAGGGTATATGGCATTTATTTATTTATGTATTATGTGGCACATATACCAGGTAAGCACTCTACCACTGAGCTACATCCCCAGATCTCTTTTTACTTTTTATTTTGAGTCAGGGTCTCCCTAAGTTGTCTGGCTTGGCCTTGGACTCTCTCTGCATCTCTCTGGCTCAGCCTCCCCAGTAGCTGGAATGACAGGCCTTTCACTAAAAGGAAATTTTTATCAGGGAAAAAAAAACCATTTGATAAAATGCAACACCCCTTCCTAATTTAAAAAAAAAAAAAAAAACACACCAAACAAACTAGCAATCACATAGGAAAATCCCATAGGTAACCACACTCAAAGGTGAAAGACAAAATACTTTGTCTCTGAAAATCAGAAATAAGATGTGAGTGTCAGGTTTCCTTTTACACACACACACACACACACACACACACACACACACAATTAGTACTAATAAGTTGGTTTAGTATTGTTGCAAGAATAACAGATCAATATATTAATTACAAAATTGGGGGTGTAGCTCAGTGGCAGTGTACACGTAGTTGACCCTGGGATCCACCTCCAGCCCCAGAGAACAAAAAACACAGGAATAGGACTGGAGAGATAGCTCAACGGTTAAGTAAGAGCACTGACTGCTCTTGCAGAGGACCTGGGTTCGATTCCCAGCACCCACATGGCCGCTACGAACCATCCTTAACTCCATTTCCAGGGGAATCCGAAGCCTTCTTCTGACCTCCGCGGCATTGCGCAACACGGGTGCATTCACATACATACAGGCAATACACTCATACACATAAAATAAAAATAATTTTAAAAAACACAGGAATAAATGCTTGTTCAGTTATGATACTAAAAGAAAAAATGAACTGAACGTTACCAGATTTTAAGATTTGGAGACTTTAAAAGACACTATCAAGAAAGTGAAAATGGGATATGCTGCCAGCTGTTAAGAGTGCTTGCTGCTCTTTCCAGGACCTGAGTGTGGTTCCCAGCACTTATACAGGGCACATCACAACCCTGGAGCTGTAACTCCAGCTCCTTGGGATCCAACACCCTCTTCTAGCTTCCAAGGGCACCCATAAACTTCTAGCATGCACACACACATGCACACAAAACAAACCCTAAAAACAAAAGCAGGTAAAAATGGGGGCAGGCAAGATTGCTCAGCAGGTAAAAGTGCTTGCCACCAAACCTGAAGACCTGAGTTCAATAATGAATGAATGAATGAATGAATGAACAATAGATAAACATATATCTCATACATGCAAAATGTATGAATATATTAATTCAATGATAAATATTGCTAATGTATTTATAGTATGTATAGAGAACACTTGTATATGTCTATAACTGTATATTTGTATATATAGATACATTACATATGATGTACCACATATAAATATGTAAGTGCTTTAAATACAGCACTCATTTTACATATGAATATATTTATCCTATGGTTTGATGGGATGGAACCCATGACATCATACAAGCTAAGCATGCACTGTACCAGTGAGCTATGTTCCCACAACCATTATTAAGGAGGTTTATTGATGTATAGGTTTTTTTGAGAAAGGGTCTCGTGTAGCCCAGGCTGGCTTTGAACTCACTGCATATTTTAAAAATATTTTAGTTATTATTTTTTTAAATTTATGTGTATGAATGTATTGCCTGCATTATGTAAGTGCACCCATGTCATACAATGTCCATGAAGGTCAGAAGAGGAGGTCATATCCCCTGGAACTGGAGTTATAGACAGTTGTTAGCTGCCATGTGGGTGCTGGGAACTGAACCTGGATCCTCTGGAAGAGTAGCCAGTATTCTTAACCTCTGAGCCATCTCTCTAGCCCAAACTCACTGCATATTAGAAGATGATCTTGAATTTTTTATCATTCTTTGTGACTGGTGTGCTCCACCACACACAACTAGTGTAGTATATTTTCAGTGTGTGTGTGCCTATCACTATCCCATGGTATGCTTACATGTGCCGTGATGAATGGGTTCACAGCAGGCTTGAGTGTCTGACTAGGTGCTAATTCTACCATGTATGAACTGTGCAACCTTAGGCAGGGTACTCAGCCTCTCTGTGCCAACTGCAAGAGGTCATGATGAGAACTGAGTAAGGTGGCACTGGAGAAGGGGCAGTTAGGACTATTTCCTCATGGTTTAGCAAGGTCAAGTTAGCATCCACAACACTGCATTCTTCAGAAAAGGAGGCCCCACCGCCACTGTCAGAGTCCTCATTTCTGACTGGCTCCCTGAATCTGCTGCCCACCAAACCACCTCAAGACCTGGGCTTGGGGTGCTCCTTCTGAGGGCACCAGTCCTCCCAGGGAGTGCAAAGACGGTGAAGCTAGCTGGAGGGGACCCCCAAGCTCATTAGTGTTTGGGACAGCGACAGTTGGCGCCCATTTCTAGAAGCTCCAGATCACATGGCTGGCTTTATTCAGTTATTTGATCAGGGTCTGCTCTTAGCCTAACACAGTCCACATGCCCCAGATCTGGGACCAACACAAGCTCCAAAAATAGTGGTGGCATCTGAGGACAGATACTCCCTCCCCTCCAGATACTCCCGACCCTCCAGTTCCTCTGTCCCTCCCGTTCCTGGAAGGAGAGGGCTCTGAAAGGGTAGGGCTGAGGGCAGGGCCTTAGGAATTATAGAAAGGCACCAGAGGCCAGTGCAGCCTGTCTACCACCAGGCCAGGAGGGTAGAAATTGTGGTTCTACTAGACTGTCAGGCAAAGACACACCACTGTTAATATATATGAGGTCTTCTGACCCTGGGCAATGCACCCTGCCACAGCTAGTTTTCTGGGATGGAGTGTATGTGCCCTGGCAGAAAGGAAGATACTCTTTTTTTTTTTTTTTAAACTCAGTATGTAGACCAGGCTGGCCTTGAACTCACAGAGCTCCACCTGCCTCTGCCTCCAGAGTGCTGGGATTAAAGACGTGTGCCAGTACATCCAGCTGAAGGAAGATATTCTAAAGAGAACTTTGAGCCTCCTCCTGTGGCTTTCAGACTGTTGAAACAACAGTCCCCAAGAAATTGGAACTGGCCCCAGAGTCTCACACTGGGAGAAGAAAAAAGCCTGGTGCCAAGGGGGATGTTGTCTCCCAGGAAGATTCCACACAGTTCTGACAAGTTGTCAGACCATCCTGCAAGAGAGACTGGAGCCTATACAATGTTGGGTCAGTGATAGGTGGGACCCCACCTTGACCGGGACTGTTTAGCTATGCATACCTCATACCCTCTATTAAACTTAGCCATACATACTTTGTGCCCTCTGTTTAAACTTAAACCTCATGTCAGGACCCTGAGGATGACTTGAGGAGTCACTGGCTCTTTATTTGTTCCTCTTTCCAATGTGGCCACATTGAATAAATCTCCTTTCTCTGCTTTTTACTATGACTCATCTGTTTAATCAGCCTGTTGAGGATGGGGTGCTGAGTCTGTCTTCTTAGCCCTGTCCTATCAGGCTCTGACCACAACAGCTCAGTAACAAGTCGGGCTGGTGATGGAAACCCTGAGAACTGAGTTCCCCCAGTACTTCCCCCAGGGGCAGGCATTTCTTCTCTAAGGGGGGGGGTGGCGGGGGGCTACAGAGCAGACGGGGAAGAGCCTATGGTGGCCCTGGGCAGCCACCTACTCCCAGCTGCTCTAGGCAAATCCTTTCCTTTCTCTAGGCCTGGGAAATGGACTCATTGCTAAGTAGACAAAAGCAGAATCCTCAGTACAGTGAGAGCCCAAGAGAAAAGGACAGGTGGCTCCTTCCCAGGAGAGAGGGAGGAGCCATCTTAGGCTCCGCCTTCCTGCTGAGTAACTATGGCAGAGTACTCTCCTCCAGCAGAACAGCTGTGCCTTCTTGCCGGTGCCCATCAGACTTGGGGGCTGTTGAGTTCCCTCACAGAGGGAAAGAGTGGGGTTGGACTCTCACCTGAGATTCCAGCCACTCTGGCCAGCCCCTTGTAAGCAATTCTGCCCCGATTGCACAAGGCCACAGGGGTCTCAAGGTGTTAGAGTACATACAGTATGATATACGGAGTGTATCACTGACTGAATGGAGCTCCATCTATGCAGTTATGGGAAAGCCATCATCCATACTGAGCAAAGACTTCGCAGTACAGTATCTTCGGGGTTACCCATACTCCCATAAGCAATCTCAACAAACTCATAGGTTCCTCACATGGAATTTTAGTGGAATCACACTTTGGTTTGTCATTGGGACCTTATCAAAAGGGGTAGACATCATTTACATCGCCCCAGGGAAGGAATTCTCTCAACTGTAAGAGGTGTGGCATTCAGGAAGTAGGCAGAGAGAGAGGGGTACATGTACAGATCAGGTAGCCCACGACCTCCATTGCTTTCTAACCCAGGGCCTTTGGGCAAACCACTTGCCCTCTTAACCTCTGTAAAATGAAGTGAAGTTCCTGTGTCACAGGGGTTGGTGAAGACGTCACAATAGAGAATCAACGCTACCACCACAGTGAGTCAGGGCTATGTCTGGACTATGTTCCCCCAGCTTCGAACTTCCATCTCATTCTTAGAATGAAGTCCTCATTTGAAGAATTAGGAAGCCAGAGACCAGAGACACCCCCTGATATGCCCCAAGTCACACAACAAGAACTGGTAAACTTGGACTTGAATCCAGTGTCCCCAGCCCCCACCCCTTCCAAGAACCCCTTACTTAGCAGTTGACTGTGTTCCTGTGGGAGAC